GGTTGCACATACAGTACAACACAGGGCAGTTGTGAAAAATGGGCAGGAAAATGGGTGGAAGGGAGAGCTCCTTTCACCATGCAGGGGAAATATAAGAATTAGGGGCTCCCTTGGCATTTAAGGGATTAATCCCTGTGGACTTCAGTTGAAACTCCAGATAGAGGACCATCCTGTCTGTCCTCCCAGGAGCTGGAAAGAGAAATGTGCTGCTTTTAGATACAAATGTCCTGCAGCCACCTGCAGCCATCCTGCTGCTTCAAGGCTTGGACGTCCCAGTTTGGTGCTCCATGTTACACTGGTTTTGATGGTGAGCCAACACTGGATATTATAAAAGACAAAGCCTTTTCCCCCTATACTACTCAAGATCATAATTCAGGTCCTTGGCACCAGCTCTGCGTGGTGCAGGGGAGGAAGCTCTTGCCGAATCCCAGCTGATGCGCCGTCCAGCCCTGGAAACGGGAGGACTGATGGTCTCCATAAATGCCTTTGCCGTAGCACTGCTGCCTGTGCTGCTGAGTGATCCCTGCCTGTCCCCCCAGGGCCTGATTCTCCCTTTCCTTGCTTGGTGCTGATGCATTTTAGCAGCTGATAGATCACAATTGCTTTACCTCTTGCCCCAAGTGAGACATATTTCATTCGTGGGGGGTTTCAGTGTGAGGAAGGCTCTGAGACCCAAGCCTCATTCCACAGGGCACTGCTCTGCACCTGGGGTTATTTTTTCCCCCGTTCTGTTCTTTTAACTAGTGCCTTTAAGAGGGATGGGAGATGAGCCCAGAATGTATTTATTGAGCCCAGGGGAGGTGCAAGCATCTGTTAAATATTATGAAGATATCATTGATGAGTTGGTTTCACCTAAAGGCTGTAAGAGGTATGATATTTACATGTCTCCTGTGGGATGGTGCAGAGCAGGGGAGACAAATGCTGCTCAGTGATAACTTCCCTTACCAAGGGTGGGATGTCACACAGACTCAAAACATGGAGTCTTCTGTGTTTTCTGGTTGCATTGGATGTGAGGAAAGGCTGTGTGCTAGGCTTATCAACATAATTCATGGCAAGATTTCAGTCATTCTTCCTCTCAGATAAAAGATTTGTGTTTTCCTCATTTGTCTTGTGCTTCCTACAAAGATCTGCCTGCTTGCTGAAAGTGTGAGCTCCTGAACTGTTTTGCTAGGTAATTAAAGGCACATTTAGATTTTCTCTTTTTCAGCTGCTTCTTTCCTAGCTGTTATCTTGAGCATGATAGCAAGTCTCACTGACCCTGACTCTCAGACAGTTACCTGGGAGCAATCCATCATCCCTCTCTGTCCATGCTCATCCCAAAGGATCACCCAGGTTCAGCTGACCCACATCAGTTCCACAGACCAGTCCCTGGTCAAACCATTGCTCCACTTTTGGAAAAGAGCAGAAAGAAGTCCTGGATCCCAGGCTATATAAGACAAGTTTTCCTTTGGTGAGACCACCATAAAATATTTATGATTTCAATCCCTCCCCTGAAAGTTAAATAAACAGTAACTGCAGTCCTGTTGTGACAGGAAAAAATTCCAGCCCTCTGCTCAGAAGGGAAAGTGTTGTCCCCCATTGGGCTTTGATTCCCTTTATGTTTTTTTAATGACCAAAGATCCTGACAATAAAGTATGATATCAAAACCAGAGCTAGCTTGGAAGGGAGCAAGAAATTAATTTTTCAAAATGCCCTCAATATTTACTAGATCCTTCCAGTCCTTGTGAGGGAGGGGTCCCTGTATCCTTTCACACACCTGACATTGCCCCTAGCAAAATTAGTCACAATGGCCCCATGCAGGTTTTGGATTTATTGTCTGCAAATTTGGCTGGTCTGATCACTGGTCTGAACACCTGTGGAGCCTCAGAGTCCAGACTATTAGATTAATCTGTCAGTCACTCTATATAACAGCCTGTCCTCCTCTCCATCCCAGTTCGACACTCCCTTCCCAATTTTGGTGTATAGCTCCAAGATCCAGTTTCACCGGAATGTAAACAGTGTCTGAATCCCCCAACTTCCCTGCTTTGCTTCCGCTGTGAGTGCACGTCGGCTGTATTGGCTGCTTGAAAAGTAATTATCCTCACTTCCCACCTGATAAATTAAAGACCCCCAGGTTCTTTGCTTAATGATGCAGAGCAATTCAAGAGTGATTCTTCTGCAGAAGCTGTTAGGAGAATGTCCTAGCAACCTCACACCCTTCTGGTCCTCATTGTGCTGGGACGACAGCCCATTAATCAGCCTGACCCGGCTTGGGGATGGCAAAGGTCGTGCTGCGTGAAGTCTAATCGGAAAAACAAATTTCACCCCTCTGCTGTGCTTCCTGGCAGGCACGAAGGGGAAGACTCGCTTGGTTTCACACTTATGCACCTTAAGTATTTTTCCAAGGCTAGAAGGCAACTGATATGAAAGGTTTGTACTTCAAATAGAGGAGCATGAGTCCCTAAGGCTGTGTCCACATTGCTCTGAAGTGTGGTTTTGGGAATGATTGGGAGAATGATCCCAGATCAGCCCACGTCACATCTGTTCAGCCACTTCTTGGGGAAGCAGGGATCAAGTCTGATGGAACACATGGTGCCCCAGCCCCAGATTCAGTACAACCTTGGAGTATGCTGGCAGATCCACTACCTACAAGCACAGATGAAAAGCCTGGTCTCAGGCTCACAATGGTCCTGAAAATTCAGTGTGCCTGTCAGTGGTTTCCACACAAGAGAGAATAAGCCATATCCACCCAAAAGCCCAGCTGTCCCAAACCTTCTCTCTGACAGAAGCCAACAGCGGGTGCCTGGGAAGGGAGGATCCATCACAGGTGGCATCTGGTGGCTTGGAGGTGCTGTATCTGTGACTGGGAGTCCTCGATGGACTGTTATTCCATTAATCTGTCCATTCACTTATTAAGTCCTTGCAAGCTTTTCATTTTCTCAGTGTCTGCTGTCAGACTTGAACTGCTCAATGATAAATTGCATGAAGGGCTTAGTTTTCTTTGTTATGAGTCTGTCTCCTTTCAGCTTTACATTATGGAGGCCAAGCTACAATCATCTCCTATTAATCTTCCTTGTTTAGAACTCTGTAATGCCCTTTTGCAGTTCTGGACATGTGTGCTTGTCCTACTTTTGATGGTATTCTTGATTATCAGCAGTCTGTACTGCTAATGAAACTGGAATAGTTTGTTGCAGTGGATCTAAAATCCATGAATCTAGGAAATATAAATTAGATGATCTGTCTGTGAAAACATCTCCATCCTGGCAGGTGGTGAAGTTCACAATTTGATAAGCCAATGTAAAGACAAGCCAGGAAAAATAATGCATAAACTGCAATATATCCTTGGGTTGGTTTAGTACAAGAAAAAGCCCCCCAACTTCTCTGGTTGTTTAATATCATGCTTGAGCATTCTGGCCCAAGATAGCAGTCCTGTATGATTGATTTCACTGGTAAGCAAAAAAATTACTGCCATTTGGCTCCAGGACAAGAACAGCATTGTGCTATAGTTTATTGTTTTCTTATGGACACTGCAACAGCAGTACACTGTTAATCTCCTGATCCTGTGGTGTGAAATAGGATATTCCTTCAAGGATGAGAGAAAAACTGTTTAGCACTGACACCACTACAGGTGCATCACTCTACAGCACCAGCTTTACCTCTGGCAAGGGTTTGTGCATATTTAGCAGTGAGCCAGCAGTGATGTTTTCATCTTTACTATAGGGAACACAAATCAGCAGCTTGTAGTTGTGCTGATTGTTTCAATTTACACCCTTCCTTTAGTAGTTTCAGCCTCTTTTTCTTGCTGTATGAATACTGCTGTATATACGATGCGATACTAATAGTGTTTGTATCACAAACTACTCTCTTGGTGGTTTGTGATACGGAGTTGTTTCATCTACATACACATCAGTAGTGTAAAGGGAATTTTAAGATAAAGACACAGGTGCCACTATGGTTTTTTTTTTTTGGCATATAAAAAAACACGTGCTCAGCCTTTTAGTCCACAAGAGCTTCCAACTAACTCTGTCTGATTTTATTTTTTTTTCCCTTCTCTTTTTGTAGCAGAGGTGCTTCTGTTTGGCTTTGTGGCCATCTTGAAGTTATGTTTCCTTGTGTACCTGAATACACAAATGTTCAGGAGATGTTAATAATCTTCCAGCTCTAGAGTGTTTGAGACAGCAGGGCAAGGTATGAGGACCTTGAATGCAACCATCAGCCCTTCCAGCTATCCCAGACATGATTCAAGTTCCCCAAAACCCTGACAGCAGAAACTTCCAATTGGTCTCTTGAACTTGCACATCTCAGTAGGATTTAAAGTTTATTTTAGGTGCTGTGGGAAGCAATTTGGATAGGTCCTATAATGCCTCAGTTCCCTGGCTGAGAAAAAGCCCTTGCCTGTTTCATAAATGGATTGAGAAGTCTTGTCTCCATGCAAGCAGTGACATATTCAGACAATACTGCTGAGAATCAGAGAGAAATGTTCTGTGTCCAGACATAGCCGTGTCTAAGTGCCTTGGCACAGCATTATCTTTGGAGCTTAGGACTTTGCCACCCATCACGCAGGGGAATGAACAGAGGGGAAAGAAATAAGCAATGAACAGATTTTGCAGAGGTATTACATGAGAGAATAATGAGAAGGAAGAGGCTGTGCTGGTTCAATGGATAAGATGCTCATGCGGAAATGTTCTAAGGAATGGCTTTGGCTAGGCATGGGTTTCCTCTCCCTGCTGTAAAGTGTACTGGGTTTTAGTGGTACTAGTAGGTGGTGGATACCTCTGTGCAGAGCGCCCATATGTGACTCCTGGCTCTATGCCTGCCTGTTTTATCCTATCTCATTCTGCCCTATTCCAGCTAAAGGATGGAAGTGAAATGTAGGAAACATTCCCATGGAAAGAGAAGAAAGAGAGAGAGAGATATTAAGGGAGGAAGGGAGAGAGGGAGGGAGGGAGGGAGGAAGGGAGGGAGGAAGGAAGGGAGGGAGGAAGGAAGGGTTTATGTACTTTGATTCTACATATCTGAGTTCTCACCCCACATAATTTCTGCGGGTTGCAACCCCAGTTCTTGGGGATCACAATCCTTCTTGGCTAGAAAAATGGTTCTAGTTGAACTTTCAGCAATTTAGAACATGTTGAAGGTGCACAGAGCTTAGGCCCTGGTTTGCTGTAGAGACTTGTTTCTCTGCTATGCGTCCTGGCATTGGGATTATCTCAGCAAAGTCAGTTCCTGGCCCTAGGAAATGGCAGCAGGATCTGTTCTGCAGGCCCAGTTGAAGACCCTCTTTCTTCTCTCCCCTCAGCTGAGTTGAGGCCAGCAACAGCTTTCATGAGAGTCTTCTATGACACGTGCCCCAAGCATCCTGATTGTAGGCTGACTGTGGCAGATGCTTCTCAGCTGGAAAGGGTGGAGCTCCACAAACTCATGTTTTCCTGCTGTAAATATGGAGAATAAAAGCCCCTGCTAAATATAGTGGCTTCAGTTCTGCCACCATGTTCTCAGCCTCCTCACCATGGTGGGATGTTCCTCCATGCCAGGAGGAAGTTTTGGAGTTCATAATGCTGAAACTCATCAGTACTGGCACAAAGAGAATTGGGTGGTGGGAAACTGAGTCATAGATTATATTCTCTACTTCTGACTGCCCCAGCTGGTGGCTCACAGACCACTGGTGATCCATGAGAACTCAGAAGATGGCCTGTGAAACAGCACAGAAAAAAAGGAATACAGCAAACCCACAGATGCCTTCTTGCACAGCCAACATCCTGTTTCTGTCCTGGGAAAAAACCAGAAGAAACTTCAGACCCACTAGAACCTTCTGAACACAAGGGTAAGCAGTGAAGGGGTCAAGGGACTCTTCTTTGAGACAGAGCATTGGCTCCATCTGAGTGCAAGAGAGAAGTGAGAGGGATGTGGTGAAGTGCCTGCCAGTAACTGAGGGAGCCAGAGGGAGATTCCTGAGAAGTCCAGAAAATATTTTGAAAATGGAGACCCAAACCAGCATGGCAAATGCAGCATGACCCTTCCTAACACAGCATGGGGAAAACAAAGAGCATCCCAGCTGCTTGGATACTTGACACCAGGATCACACTCAGCAGCTCTGTTCTCTGGTGGTGCTTGGAGTTGATGACTGAGGGTCATTTCCAGCATGGGATTTCATGTGTGAAGCCTATTCAGTGTACAGCAACTGCTGAGACTTTCAGAGGGCGTGACTCAAGTTAAAGGCTGGGATATGAACACAAGAAACTATTGCTAGAAACCAAGCTGAAGCACGTGAAGATAATAAGATGGATGTCCAAACTGGGACCTCTTCTGGGGTTGCACAGCGCTGACAAGTTGACCTGGATGTGTCACATCTCTCAGCTTCACAGCTCCTGACACACGGCACCAGCTCTCCCATATGTCAGGAGTCACATTCCCCACTGCTGGAATGCAGCCACCTCTGGAGCAGAACCCAGCAGCTGTTTAAAGAATTGACAGAAACAAACCAGGGACAGGATGCAGAGACACAGCCAAAGTGCAGAGGAAAACAAGGAGGAAAAAATGTCAACCAAGTCCATAGGGTGAATGTGGTGGTCATAATCAAATGATAAAGAACATGGCAATTTACCAGGCAGCAGCAGAGCTAGAGGAACCACCTGTGTGTTTTCTGTTGTCCCGAACCAATCACAGTAACACAGCTTATCTGAGATCTTTCTTTTACATACAGTGCCCTGCCACATTCCCTTGTGTTACAGCTGAGACTGCCGATGCAGACTGATACAGTAGTTTAGTTGATTCTCAGTAATCCATGAAGCCATGATAAACTGGGAGAAAGCATAATCTCTTTGTCTTTGGTGGATAAAGAACATGAGATATGGTTTCTCTCCTCAAGCCACTCTCACCATTGGTTCAAGCTGTTAATCTGCGTCTGCTTTTCCAGCCCCGCTCCTCAGACTGTCTTGGACACTCAAAGAAGAATAATCTAGAAAATAATCTAGACACATTTTTAAATGCTATCAGAAAAGTCAGGAATGGTTAAAAGCATGAAGACCTCTGTGGTTCAGAGCTGTGAGATTTATCTGCTGAGACATGAACCTTGCAAGGAAGGACCACTTGATGTGAATCCTGCTCCCCAGCAAACTGCCTAGGCCCCTAGGAGAAGACATTTTACTGGCTTATCAGATAATTCAATTGGAAGTGTCCTCAGGAGTTCTGTGGATCTAGTTGTTGATTCACGGGCATCAGTGGGTCGTTGGTTTTGCACAGCAGAGCTACTCTCACCTCCTTTTCTTCCAGCCCAGTACTGAGTATTCATCTGAGCTAGTCAAGAGTATCTGGACTGGCAATTGGCTCCAGACTCCAGCTTAAAAGCAATTAATTAGAACGAGCCACCAGCTGAATCCACCAAGGAGACTGCTGTGCAGAGACATCCGGGCTTTGTGTGGTGGCACCAATCTGAACAGGCTGGCCCTTGAAAGGAGGTGGCACAAGGGAAGAGAATGGAAGGTTTGGAGGTAGATAATGGAAGAATGAAGAGACTGGAAGCCCCGAGTTCCCACACTGTCATTGCCCCTGCCATTTGAGTCCAGAGAAAGCCCTCTGCTTCCCCCACACAGATTGCCCCATGCCACCATTGTGTTTGGCTGCTTGGAAAGCCATCTACAAGCCTCCCCACATTGCATTCAGTGTGCAGCCACAGGAACAGCAGCCGTCTGGATTCTCTCCAGCTGTCCAGTGAGAGAAAGGGAAAATTATTTAGTAGTAGCAGAGAAAAGGGGGTAAAAAGAAAAAAAGCAAAGAAAAAGCAAAAGGCAGAAATCATTTTTTGTGGCATACTATGACGCACAGATTTGGGAATGAGGGTTGTGAAAGCTTTTTGTTTAGCTTATTCTTTTCTGGTCTGACAGCTGATAAGTCCCACAGCTCAGAAACATCTGACAGGACTGGCTGAAGTAAATTCATCTTTCATCTGCCCATCATGCTCCTGAAGTGGAGAGTGACAGAACTGTTTCTCCTCTGTCTGAACGCTGCTCTCCTTCCTTTTCCCTCTTTCGCGTATTGTTGTTTGGAGCTTGGGAAAACTGGTTTCCTTCCTGCCTACAGCCTTCTCCCCAGGTTCAGGGCAGCATCCGTCTGCCCTTGCACCTGCTCCCTACAGCTGCAAGCTGCCTCTGCTGAAACCATTTGCACCCGACCAAGCAGCAGGCTGCTGGGGCCCCTCTGGCTTTGCCTTGAATCCTTTCCCTGTCATATTTTCCTTGCTGCTCTTGCAATTAGCGCGCTTGTTCACTGCTCTTCTCGCTAGCACCTTCTGCTTTCCCAGCACTCTCCCCTTCTGACTCCCCTCGAGTCCCTGTCTGCTTGCTATGGCAGGGCTTCTCAGTGGCAGCTTGAGACACATCTTCTCTGCTTTACTCCATGTCCTGTCCCCAAAACTGCTGAGTTTCCACGTCCTGAGGGCAGAGATATATTCTTTGTGTCCTACTCATTTAAAATGCCTTTAGCATCTCCCACATCCTTTACTGGTGGTGGCTCTGCCTGACAAACGATGCTTCTCTGTGGGGAGATTCCCCTGATGTCTACCAGCCACTGCCTCCACAGTGGCCCAGAGAAAGCAGATCCTCTTCATACTCACCAGTTGGTTATCACAGCTGAACTGATGAGGAAAAATGTGTATGTTTGCCAGTTGTCACCCCAGGTTATCACTGGTAGTGGGTAGCACCTGTGGGGTTTGTGTGCCACACCATGTGGGGTGCTACAAGCACTGCCCTTTCAGGTAAGGCTACATCAGGACAATACACTCCTGCAGACCAGCAAATGCCACAGGCTGGGAAATCTCAGTGGTGTCATGGTGCATGCTGAGATGACAGCAGTGAAGGACAGCAAGGAGCACTGTCTGAATTTGGGTGACCTGTATATCTTTCCATGTGGGTTAATAACCCTGTGTCATCTTTGCTCTGTTAGTGCCCATCCATAGTGCACTTTTTATTGTGGGAGTAATTAGCAACCTCTCTGAGGCAGGAACACCATTTCAGTTGAAGATGTGTATCATCTGGAATGAGGTGTAGGCTTTTGACAAGGCACTTACTTTCCAGCCTGTTAGTAGGTGACAGAGAAGTATTAAAGGTTGCAGAAGAAGAGTCCAAACTAGTGAATGGAAATGTTTTATTCCAAATGTGGGGTTCTTTCCCATAGATAGGTGAGAAACAAAATAACAGGAACAACTTAAAAAAAAGAGGTTATAAATTATTTGTATTACAAATGGCATTGTATTCTGACATAAATTTTAACAACAATAAAAATATGAATTCTAATTAAAAAAACCCACCAACCCAAACAAACCACCCTCCTGACTGCCGGGAAATCTTGCTGTGCTTTCTGCAGCAGAAAATCAATGATCTAATTTCACTTGAACTCGACAGGCTGCATCTCCCAAATAAGGCACACCATTGGACACACTTGAAAATGCAAAGCTGTTTCGGCAAACTCTCTCCTTTGCATCACAAGGCTGTCATTTTGGTCTCCAGTGATTTTTTTTCTCATGCATGTGTTTTGCTGAATTAAAACAAGCACCTGTTTTGCAAAATGTGACCTCTAACATTTTATTCACTCATCTCTTGTAATAGGCTGCACATAGTGATTTTTTCTGCCATGGGCTCTGCAGTCCTTTTCTCCCACAGCTCCCTGGCTCATCCCTTCCCAGTTTCAAAACTATGTGTCCAAGTTATGTCTGGCCACCAGCTGGGCCCTGAAGTCTGTGCAAGCAGCTTAACTGAATCCTCCCCATATCTCATGGCTGGTCTCACAATATCTGTTTATATCCTGTAAATTAGTGCAATGTGGCCCCTAACCAGGATCCTCACAGTTTTACAAGCAGTTACACAAGTCTTGCCAGGCCAGTCAAGAACCTGGATGGGATGATAAAAGCTCTCAGCTTAGTGTGCCTGGTGGATTTTTGCAATGCAGCTTGAACAGCAGAGGAAAAGAGGGAAAAAAAGAGGAAGAGGAGGGGGAGAGAGAAAGTCTCAACTGTTTTGTTGAGTTCCCAGATCTGGTTCAGCACCATTAAGAAAGGGGATACTGAAGAGTGCTTTTCATTCCACCATTTTGCAGTGGGTAATTGCTTTCCACACGGTGCATTGGGTTTTGATGTGAGTCCAGCTGCAGTAACGCAAGCTACGGCAAGGGCTGTTCCAGTGCAAATGTGTTATTTGAGTGTCTCTTTGCTCACACTATGACTAAACAGAAGCAGCTGTGGCCAGAGGACCATCAGTGCTTTGTATCACACAATCTGGCATTTAATGGAAGGTTTTCGTGTTTTCAGTTGGAAAAACTTTCTTCCTTCCATTGCTGGAAGTTTTGAAGAAATTAATATTTTGCGTGATGCAAAAGAGTGCCCTGAGAAACAATTGTAATTTCCAACACAAATACAAGCCTGGCACCCTCTCTGCCTCCAGTATGACTTTCACATACTATGAACCTCAGCATGCCCGGGAGCCACCAATGTATGTCAGCCAGGGAAGCCACCTGTATACTTCTGGAGGCAGTCAGTCAAGAAAATGACGCAAAGCAGGAGTAAAGACAGTTTGGAATAACAAGACTACATTTCTTTGCCAGGGCAAGAAGATGCCATCAGTCTGCAGCCTTGTAATCTACAGGGATGAAAATTCCTTATTACTTGGCTGTTCAAAATTAGCCTGAAGAAAGCACTGAAGGGGAATAAGATTGCCTTAGCACACAAGTGCAATAAATATCTCTTACCCTGCTTCTTTTGGGACTTGCACAAGGTTTTAGCCATCAGCCACAACAGGAAGCTCAGGACTTTTGGTAGAGCAGGCCTGACTGACTCCAGGAGACCCAGGCAAGCAGGGCAAAGATACGTGTCTGTGGTAGTTGTAAGATTTGGGATTGGCTCACAAAAAGCAACTGCCAGATCTTTGGGGAGAAGTTTTCTACTGGGCATCTCTTAAAATCTTCTAAAAATTTGTTTTGAGGTTATTTTCAGGACTTCAGGAACATGCTCTTCTTAATGGGGCTATTGCAGCCTGGGCCAGTTGACAAAGCAAGCAAACCATTGAATGAATGGAAACATAAAGATGGACCATCTAAATAGGCCCATTTTGTATTTATTGCCCTCCTCAAAAAGAAGTGAGAAAACAAGAAAGATCTACTCAATAGAAAACATGGTTCCCCAAAGGTCTCATATTCCTTAATTGCAGCTTGGAGCAAGTGACTTTCTCAGGTTTGGTGCAATGCACTTTTGGGAACCACTGGGGTTAGAACTCAGGATTTTGAATCCAACTTTTATTTCCCCCTTGAAATCCTAGACCACACAACCTTCTGATTATAAATGTAGGGGTACATCTATGCACGTGGAGAGGAAGCTCAGCATCACATAGGTGGTCTGCTCTCTTTCTGAGAGGACACACGTGGTAACAGAGGTGAAAACCATAAGTCACTCAAGAGAAGAAGGATGCTGGTTCTGACAAGCCCATCAGCTGCCTGTAACTCTCACCATCTGAACTTTATACCTTTCATTTTCAAATTCAATCTGTTTTTTTGACTGGTCTTAATGCTTAAAGCGTAATTTACCGAAGACTTTCCCTGGTAATTAATTTCACACGTTCATTACAGACCATTTGGCTATAAACACATGTGGATTTCCTTTTTAACTCTTCATTTCCTAAGTTTTCAATAGAGAGGTTCCAAAGCTAAACCACAGGAATGGCCTATGTAGCTCAGGTTTATTAAATCTACCCCACCGTGTCAAGTGTCTACAGTGCGTACAATTATTCGGGCTCAACTACAGTTATGAGAGAATTCATTTCACCCAAGGGTAGATTAAGTCTCTAAGTGTTTTGTATCAGAATGGTGATACTCATGTTGCAAAATGAGATGGAAATGCTAAATTCCTAGACTCCACTCAGATCCCAGTGCATGCTCTGGAGTTGATGACTTCCAAAGCCAGGTTCAGTCAACTACTTCCTTTCCACACATACTGCATAATCCATGTGCATAAGACAACACTAAAAAACCTGTGTAAGTGCCAAAGGTCAAGCTCCTTTGGATCCTCTGTGGGAAGTAAAGCCAAGGTACAATTAACCCTAAACAGACAGAATATCTACGTGCAAGAAACAACAGATGGAAATACATACAGTCAGTTTTATCAGCAACTTTTTTATATCTTCAGGTAATGAACATTTCAGGCTTCTCAAGTAAAAATAGCAAGGAAAGAGAAGGCAGAGAAAGCTGTTAGTATCTTTCTGTTCCTATATGGTATAAAGAATCCAGAAGGCAATTGCAAATGAAGATTAGAGAAAGTCCCAGACTCCAAGAGAAGTCCTGTGGTTTGTGCCTGAAGGTGATGGAGCCCTGAGGAGAAAAATACTAAAAGATTCATTCTGACACTTCAGTTTTCAGATGTGACTGTATGAAGAACATGTTTCTCAGCCTTTCCATTTTGGACATATACCCTGTAAAATATAGTGATTGTAAAGCAGCTCCTTACAGTGGATCGATTATCGATCATGAGAAGAAAAGCATGTTTGTTTTTCCTCATTTGTCTTAGTTTTATTCTCTGAGGTAAATGTTGCAGTTTATCAGTTTTATCCTAATTAAAGAAGTTTTCATAGGAGAGTTTCTGTGAGGACACTGCTAGAAGGAAGCCTGCTGTAGCTTGTGAGATCAGAGTAGATGGCAAGTCTAAAGAGATGTCTCCTACCTAAACAGAAGATTGAAACACAGGAGATGCAGACTCCATGAGGATCTGCCATGGGAGACAACAAAACCAGAATCAGATCAGAAAAATCTTTTGCAAGTTCTCCACTGGAACCCAACACAATCTATCCAGTGGGAACTTTGGAGTCTGGGAAGATAGCTTCCTCCTATTAAAGGATACTCATCAGCTTGTCTCTTATGCTCTGAAGCTGATGGAGGCCTCAGGTCTCTCCAGCCTTCTGCCTCTGCCCTTCCTTGTGCATTGTGCTCATGCCCTCTGGCCATCTCAGGAGCTCTCTGCTGACTCTTCACCTGCTCTAAACTTATCTCATACTGGGGGCCCATAACTGTCAAAGTATTTCAGATGGCAGCTCTTGAGTAAAGAATTAAGGGAATTATAACTTTCTGTAATAATTCAAAAGTCCACTGTGTCACTGTCTCCTTGGCTGTTTCTCCTTTCCACAGAAAGTCACTTAGAGCTGCTAAGTGCTGTGCAATGCTTTTCTTATTTGCTGCTGAACTGGACTGCCAGAGAATACCTGTCCATCACTGTTACAGGCTGACAACAGTGCTGTGAAGACCTGAGGATTTCCCAGTGGTTTGATGGTTTTATGTGGGCTGACTTTTTCTGTTTGTGTGCTGCATTATAGCTCATTAAATCAATAGCAGTGATTCACCAGGGAGGAGACAGGCAGTTGTCTAAAACCTAACCTGTAAATATCATGGGGTGTGTTTTGCTTTGCTTTTAGCTGGCAGACAAGACAAGTAAAAGGATTTTTTTCCTCTGTGTCATTGGAGGCAGAGAGATTCATATGGACAACTCATACTGTATAGAAATTAACCTTTCCCCTCAGGCTGGACAAAGTTTTGTGATAGCCTGAAATCATCTTAACAGCTCCTTCTGCCCCCAGCAGCCACAGATCCCTCCTAGCCACATCTTTGAGTCCTCTTGAGAGCCTGCCCTTCTCTCAGGAAGTGTCCCACTGCCTGACAAGCAGATATAAGACAGCATTAAAGAGACAACATGTTCTCAGATAAAATGTTCCAAATATAACAAGCCTATTTTTATTAAATTTGACCAAAGGCCTCCCTGCTTCCTAATCAGAGAGCCTGATTTGCTGACTCCCCCAGACCTAGCTGCCCTGGCTCACTACAGCTGTATCGTGAGATAGAATTACATTTTCATAACGATTCAAATCTTTTCCCAGGTCCCTAAGTATTTTCACAAGAAGGATAAAAATAAGGAAAGTAGTTTAAAGAAAAGAGAAAAAAAAAAAAAAAAAAAAAGGAAGAAACTGTAAAATCCAACCCTGAATTGTGTGTGGTCTTTTTTGTCTTTTCTTTTGGCTTCCCTCAAGACATGGCTTATTGCATTGGTCTGGATGCTGTCCTACCAGCACAGCTTGCTGGCCAAGCCCAGGTCCCAACAACAAAGTCACCTTGGCAGGTGCCAAAATAAACGTCAGCCTCCAGCTACCTGCACTGACTGCTGATGCTTCCATGTGTGTTGTAGGCCATGAGGCTGAAACGCAGCATCTTTTCCCTCTACTCCTCTGATCTGTATCAGCTCTTAGCCCTAGTCTTTTTTATTCAGGGCAGCCTTTGGGAGAACAATTTTTAAATGCTCTTTGTTTTGAAAAATGTGAAGTTGTGTAGAGAGATCTGGCTGTGAAATGGACAGAGGCTGAAAACTGTGTGTATGATATGGAAGCTGCATGGATACAGTTGTGGTTCATACCTGCAGCCTCAGCTTTTGGTGCAGCATTAGCTGTGGGTGTGCATGTGAGACTGTCCTCATGTACACGTTGTGCAGGGTGTGCACCTGTGGGTTAATTCCAATGGGACTAATTTTTGGTGTCAGGCATATTGCTCACAACTGGAGTAGCTCCTCTGGGAGCCAGTCCAAGGTTTTACGATCACACAATCACTTCCATTGGATTTATAAGGTGCAACTAAAATTAGGAGGCATTCAAATTCATGAGTGATGTAGAAGGGGAAGTTACAGGTCATGCTTAAATTGGTCAGAAAATTACAGGAGTCAAGCAGGGAAGGGGTGCAGTTGCAAGTGCAGAAGGGGCAAGGGAAGCAAGGACTGGCAGGCACACAGGAACATTGCTTTGTTCCCCTTCCTTTTATTAGCTGCAGTGGTTATTTTTCCACATTCCACCATATAAAACAGACTAGGTCTCAGAGACCTGCTTCAAAGTGAGTTGAAAGACTGCTAATGACTTGCCTGGGCTCCAGAGCTTCTTCTGCTCAATATGGCTTCTGCTTTTAGGTTGTGTGAGTGGGCACACCTGACCTGCTCAGGAGCCTTCTCCTGCCCTGGATGCACGCCACACACACCCAGCTGTGTTTTTCAACGTCCATTAGAATTATTTTCTATAAAAGATTAATTAAAACATGGAGATGAGTTAAAATAAAGAAATGCATGGGGTCTGGAGGAGCCCAGTACTTTCTTTGCCTGCAGCACTGTGGATCTATGTAGGGTTCCCAGATTTCAATGAGCAATGACAAAACTAAACTTTGGAGATGACTTCCAAAACATGTACAGATGTTAAAGTACAGAGTATAAATAATTAACAATAAAACAGAATAAAAACTGTCCAAAAATACAAAATTAAAAATAGGGAGGAAGAAGAAGAAGGGAAGAAATAGTAGTCCTTTTCCCCCAAAGACTTGTGAAACAGCTGACTGAAATGTCAAAGGATACAGGTTTTGGATGCTGTATTTCAGCTCTGCAAACTTGTTTCTGTGCCTTTTCCTGGTTCAACATCTGTGATCCATATTTCATCCCCACAGTGCTTGTTGGAGGACTTAGTTTCCCAAGAGTGGGGAAGGTGACACATCACTCAGGGTCCGTGAGTTCAAATGTTGATTAAGGTTCACAAGGGGAACAGCTTAATTGTTTCAGATGAGCAACAAAACCCTCAGCCAATGCTGGGCCCAAGCATAATGCTCTAAAAGCAGGTTCAGGAATGCTGGCATGAGTGGATGCTGTTGATTATTTACACTGGGTTCCCATATTTCACTGGTTGTTTTAAGCCTTGCTTCCTAAAGAAGAAAAGCCTATGCTACCCAGCTCTTTCTGTTCATGCATGGCTGTGTGTCCTTGCCATTCCCAGGACTTTCTGAGTCTGGGTTTGCCTCCCATCTGTGAGAGAAGCACAGCTACCAACAACGTTACATTCTTAAAAGCTTTGAGAAACTTGGCAGCTGGACACCAGGACTCTCACTGAAGTGCGGGAGGGATGCGAGGATGCCTCTTCTCACACACCACAAAGACACTTTGTTTCATCCACAGGGAAATCTGTGATGGGAACTTGCACCTTAAGGCACGGCGATGAAGTGAAAAAGTACACGAATCAGCACTGGTGTCAGTTCTTACAGAACTGCTGTGAGCAGTGTGTTGCAGGAGTCACAAGAATAACAGGAAAATGGTCAAAAGGGCACTCTGGGTACTCAACCCAGCGAGTGGATGGAGGGCTTATGTTCCCAGGCCACCAAGATGGTTTGGAAAGCTTTATTGCTGGTCCCTGCAAGCCTAGAAGCAAAACTGACAGGATTTATTTTCTTCCTGGAGAGGTGCAAAAGAGCAAAGTCCAGAGGCAGTTAACCTGGAGACACTTAACTTAAAAAATATAATTTTTTTGAAACTCAGTATTTCCCTAAATCAAAGGACTTGAGAGAGGGATTTTTTTTTAAGAAGTAAAAAAAAAAAGTAAAATAAATAAATAAATAAAACCTCCAATTTGCTGTAACAGTGCAACTATTTGTCTAAAAAATGAAGCTCTTAACCTGATTTTTTCCACACATTTTTTTCCCCCAGCAAAGTAGAAAAAAAGGTTAGTGTTTAAATATGTGTTTTAATTTTCTAAAGTATGAAGGAAGAAATAATTCAATATTTAATGGCAGGAAACCACAACAATTTTAGGGGCAATCAGCTTTCTCCCTGAAATGAAATATTGCATAGAAACATAATAAAATGATCTACCTTTTTCACATAAGAGAGCCCTGAATTACTTCCTGATCAGAATGAACCTACAGCTTTTCTGGTGGAAAGAAAACCCTACAGTAAGTGTTTGCTAAACACTGCTGGACTTCTCTCCCATCCCACCTTCAGCTTAGATGCTGCATCCTTGGTAGGGAAGTGGAGTCACCCTGGCAGGTGGATGTGGTTAGCTGCAGTCACGTCATAAGCAAACGTGGTGTGTCTCTGGGGAGCAAAAGGAAGGAGAGTTCATTTCTGAGACAGGAGGCAGCTGGCAGGCAAAATCCAGGAATAGCCACACTGTCTTCTCCAGGAGAAAGTTCAGGCTCTCTCTTTGCTTGGCTCGTTGGGTTTGTTGTTGTTATTCTTGTCTGAGAGACCAGAGAAGTCCCAGAAGGACACAGAGGAGCTGTGATGAGATGCCAGAGAGAAAAAGCAATGGTATAAAGTCCTGCAGAATGGAAAGGCATTTACAGGGGTGTCCAGGTTTTCAGATCTGCACACAAAAGTTCCTGTTTTGGGAGCTGGGTTTTGGGAACCCGGGCTGGCAGCTGTGCCTCCTGCGTGTGCTGGCGGTTTCATTTCTCTACCCAAACATGGGGTTGTCTGCATTTCTGTAGTGAAAGCTGATATTGCAAGAGAGGAAAAAACAAATCAAACGAGGGAAATGTGTTTCATTTGACAATGGGTCTTTAGAGCCTGCATTTTTTAGAGCTAGGCTCTTGGAGTATTAAAAAAAACAAAAGAACAATCCAAGTCTGAGATATGTGCAAAATATAGCTCAAATCTAAAGGCTGTAACTGTGTGAGAAAAGTCAGATGTTAAACAATCACAGTTTTATTTCTCCCAGCAAGACAGCCTGTGCACCTGTAGCCATTATTGTCTCTACTGTATAAAGTGAAAATGAATATCACATTGTATTGAAAACCCTCATGGAATACAATTACTCAGCAGGAACTGTCCTAAATCTATCAGCTGTAACTCACTTGTAATTTTGTGGGACTAATGCAGAGAAATGTTTCTCCATGCATAGTTTTCCCCTAGCCTTTCCCCCCATTAATACATTTCATCCACTTTTGCTTACGATGGCTAAATTGCTTGTAAAAGATTAATTACCTATGGGAAGTGTCTGTCTTGGTCTGTAGGAATGACATTATGCTGAACATTAAATGCTGACACTATTAAACTCTGCCGGACATGTTTTGATATAATAACTCGGCAGACCACAAGTGAAATGGGTCCCTCATCAATTCACTACCTCATTGTTTTTCTGTCATCAGCAAACTTTGGGATATAGTCTCAGCTGACAAAACTCAGAGTTTCATTCATGTAAGCGGAGTAGCTTATTACAGCTTTTTATTTCCCTGGAAGTTTTGTTGAGTTTCCAGATGCAGAAGGGAATCTTTTTTCATCAATAGCCTTGACCTGAGATACAGAAGCTGCCATTTTCCAGACAAATATGTGGGTTAGTTGGGAAATGGAGGATTTATCAACTGAATTCAACTTTTTAAGACAAAAGATATTTTTCTTGTTGTGTTTCAAAATGATTATTTTGCCACTTTAGGAAGTAGAAAGTGGTTTCACTTTTGAGGGTAGAAAGGACAAATGAATTTCTGCATCCCATTCCCACTGGAAAGAGAAGCAGAAGACATTTGAAAGAACTGGGATACAGCAGTGACAGAGGGACCTCCTAACAGTG